TCACACACACACAGAGCAACACACACTGTCACAGACACACATACTGTCACACACACACACAACGACACACACTGTCACAGACACACATACTGTCACACACACACACAACGACACACACTGTCACAGACGCACATACTGTCACACACACACACAGCGACACACACTGTCACAGACGCACATACTGTCACACACACACACACAACGACACACACTGTCACACGCGCACATACTGTCACACACACACACAGCGACACACACTGTGACAGACGCACATACTGTCACAGACACACATACTGTATGGCTGCAGTCTCGTTTGATTACATGTGACATGACATGGGCGTGGTACCTGTGTCCATTGGCATCATGTCCAGTCAGAGGTTCAGTCATGTGGCCAGTGTCCATAGTGCTCTGGTTTCCAGGTAACCGGAAGAAGGCTGTTTATCAGGAAGTAATCCATATTGTACCACGGTAAAGCAACCCAGTCTTCCTAACCCGCCTCGTTTTTCCGACAGTGGTACCAATGGGTTAACGCTTCCGAAACTCATCAGGAAGATGTACGTATTTGCCTACTTACTGTAGAGTGGCCGTGCTTAAATCCGTCGTACATTTTTAAACTGTAATCAGGCGGCAGTAACCCGAGCAGATTAACACAATGATTCGCCCTTGAAGTTCGGGGGCATTCTGGGAAAGCATTTACAGCGCGTAGCTCATCGCGGCTGTGTTAATGGGAAAGTGGTTTGTATAGAGGTGGCTCTGAATGGCCTCCCTGCTCGCGGCTCTGAAGCTTTGTAATAAAAGAAAAGTCAAATAAATTTCACTTCAAAGTGCCTGATTTTAATATAAAAGGAGCTTTTATTTTGTAACGTAGTCGACTCCCAGTTTGTCGCAATTTTGTTAAACCGCAATATCTCAACACAGCTTGGGATGGGGGGGTGTCACTTTTGGAGAATAGAGGGGGAGCGTTCACACCCAGCTGGGTGGGAGGGGGTGGGTCTTTAACAGCGGGCTGAGGGTTTAGATAGGCCAGGTTTCTTCTGCAATCACTATGTTGACTCTGCTGCGAAATTGCATCGGGGAGAGAACGTAATAATCTCCTAATTCCTGAAAACAAACACGCAATGGGGCTGTGTGAGCAATGCCGGCGGTAACCCCCTCACAGACAGCGGGGGAGGGGGGTGCTCACATCAGAGGGTTCAGATGAAAGCATGCGGCGGTGCTGTGCTGTCTTTGAGGGAACCCTTGCAGGATAGCGACGTGGGCACTGCTCCCCCCCCCCCCCAGACTGCAGTACACCCGTGAACCCCACCCCATAATCTTTATTATGGATGGGGGTGCGTTAGACATTACCAGGTGGGTCTTGCCTGTGTCTTGGTTGGTATATCCCCCCCCCCCCCCATTTCTCCCTGCCGTCCTCGGATATCTGTGAAGGTCGACAGTGTGAATCAGGAACAGTCTTCATGGGGTGTTTTTGTGATATGTGGTTTGTTTCGGACCTCGTGCGGGGCCCCTCCCGCTTCGGATCCGGTAATCGTTTGTGGGATTCCCACTCCGTACTGCCACACCTCCTCGCATGTGTCTGCTGTGAGACTGACGGTCTCATCCTCTGCTTTCTCCTCAGTTGGTGGCCATTTACGACGAGCAGGACCCCCACCACGGCGGCGACGGCACCAGCGCCAGCTCAACCGGCACGCAGAGCCCTGACATGTTTGGCAGCGAGCTGGGATCAGCCAACATGTCCGCCCTGCAGCCGTACCAGGTCAACAGCGAGATCGAGGTCACACCCTCGGCCCTCAAGACCAGTAAGTGCTGTCACTCCTCGGTTCTCATCACGCCTGACGTCTGTAGCGGGGGAGGCCTGCCCACCCATCTCTGCACCAGAAATAATTGCCGGATAATCGTTAATGTCTCTGCTGAGATCCTGGCCCAGGCTCCCACCAAAAGTCCAGTTTCCTGCGAAGGTCACGATCCCCCACCCCCTTCCAAGGTCCTGAAAAGCCCCCCCTCCCCAGTTATATCCTCACCTTGCTGGGGGGAAGAGAACTTCCATGCATTTTTCCACTGGGCTCAGGTTTGCCAAATCCACGCCCCAGAGCATTATGGGTAAACACGCCAGCTGTGTCTCACATGGCACCTCTGGAGGGCCCGTCTGTTTTCCACTCTCGGGGGCAGGAATCTGGGACGGGGTGTTTGTTTTTGGTGATGGTGGGGATGCCAGAGGCAGAATGCAGCCCAGCACAGGAACTGCCATGGATTACAGTCACACTAAGACCCCCCCCCCCCCCAGGCAGCTTGGCGCTGTCTCCTGCTTTATTTTTGTGCAACTTTAGCTGTAAATCAACTAAAGTATGTTTATGAAATTTGACTGTGCAAGCATACTGTCTATGAGTAAATATTTGGAAGTTGGTAGTGAGTAAGAAATTCAAAGCCACAGCCATACTTTACTGGAAAGGTACATTTCATGACATTACTGAAGGGTGTTTGTATCAGATAGAGTTGGCAATCAGCCACGTTGTGTGACTCATCTGAGTTGCCTATTCGTATTGCAGGGGTTACCTGTGAGTGTCAAGCTGATTAGCCATGGTCCTCATCTAGTTACATTACAGAGCTAGTATTATGATGAGGGGTGGGGGGTCCCTTTTGTACACAGCAGAGTAGGAATGACTCTGTCGTAGAGCATCTTTGTAGAAGTTGGAGCTGAGACCCTACCTTCTGGCTGTGTCTCGTGGAAGGTGCTGTAAGAACAATATGAGGTAATGCTTCACAGGACTTTGCTGACTGCTTTCCTGTCACCCCAGAGCAATTTCACGTCCTCATAATGCCACCAGAGGAGGTGAGACCGGCCAGCCAGTAATAGTGCTACAGATGAGATGTAAATTTTGCATAATGATTGTAATTCGCTGGTGATTATGTGGATTGAGGCTCGCATTACAGGCCCTGACGTGAAGATGTGGGGCTCTTTAAAGCAGGTGGGGCGGTGGAATCACAGGACTCTGATTTTAATGAGTGCGAGACAGTGGCAATTCGGGGGTCATTGAATGTGCCCATGAGGTGGTGACAGCCAGCTGTTCATCCAGCTGTGATCTGAATCGCAGTGTTCTAGCGGGATTGGCAAATGTCTAGCTTAGCAGTGTGTGCTGGAGCCAAGTTTTCCTCCAGTTTATGTTCCTGGTAACACTAACATAAGTAGGCCTGTCACAATTATTACATAATCACCTGAACGCAATTATTTGAGCTGACCATGATTGTTTTGCATAATTGCTAGAATCATCTCCATTCATCTGTATAAAAATATCTGGATGAAACAGAAATGTCACAACATATTTGTCACTATTTCCGCATCGTTTTCTATCATGAGATGTTTGTCTGCTGCTCCGCTAATGGCGTCATCTCGTTGTGCTTCTGAACCGACCCCTACCGTACATTTTGCTTCTTATTTGTTATGTCATATCTACCCTGTACTATTTTTTTGTTTGCAAAGCTTAAAAGCCAGACAGAAATGCATTTTTTTTATATGTTCCAATGTTCAATCAATAGTTCTTCTTCATAAGGTGCATGTGTGTTTATTAAACTGTGATTAGGCTAACTCTATAATAGTGTTATAAAATAAACCGAAAAAGATTAAATCATTAATCGCAATTATTTGCATAGTACTTAATCGTTAACTAACATTTCATGATTGTGACAGCCCTGAATAGAAGTGAGGGATGTTGTTTGATGAAGTCCAGTTCCCAAAAGGTAACTGAGGCCCAAAAGCTAGTTTGTGGAATCCTTGGACATGTGTTTCTTGTTGTACCTTTGGGAAAAGTGCTTGCCCTGAATATACTTAGCGAAACTTCGAGAGGGCTGGGCTGGATGTCCAGGTACGTACACACACACACACGCACATACGCACACACACACACACACACACACACACACACACACACGCACGCACAGGGTGGT